ATAAAGGAAACAAAAACGCACTTAATTATAATTAGAATGAAGAGTGAACAGAAATTGAAATTCCAATCCAAGAATTAAGAAGAAAAATAACTACTCTATCACCAGATTTTTAAGAGAGTACATCAACAAACAATTTGGTAATTAACAATGAATCCGAATGAAACCTCAATTTGAACTCAGCATTCACATGAAGACCTTCATGCATTCGATTAGCACATAATTAATTAAAATTCAGAAAACTCTAGAACCTAATTGAATTGTGCCAATTTAATTTACCAATGCCGTTAATCGTAGTTTTCAAACCTGAAAATCCAATTCATGTTCCTTAAAACTCAATTACATACATCAATCAAATAATACATAATCAACCACATGCATAATCATCAATCCAAACGAATAACTTCAATTCGAAAATATAATTAGCAAAAGGGAGAGAATAAGGAATAGATGAAACCCGAAATTGTTATTGAATTTATGCCAATGTGCAATCAATCAATTCTCAAGAGTCTCACGTCTCTTTTAATCCTTGAATCAGATGAGAATCTAAGCCTTCATGGATGGAGGGAAAAAATTCATGAAAGGGAAAAAAAATGAAAACAGAGAGAAGAGAGAGGAAGAAGAAAGGAGAGGAGCGAAAAAACAACTTAAAATTCAAAATTCAAAATTCAAAATTTTCGTTCGTCACTTTGTTCCTTTTTTTCGGCAATGAAAAATGGCCTCTTTTTGGTTCGTGGCCTGAATGACAATTGTAGCGTTGGATGTTAGCTTCAAAACAACACTGGAATAAGCTTAAGCAGACATCTGTGGACTGAGATATGGCCCAAATACTGCACCTTGCTCAGGATCCGTGACTGCAGCATTCTAACTTTTTCCAGGCCCAGTTTTAGCTTCTTATCATCAGAATTGGTTTCTAACCTCTCATAGGAATTGTGAACCTTTCTCTGATCTTTCCTACAAATCAAGAATCACAATTAAAGGAGTTCTACAACTTAAGATATGGTCCAGAAACCAAAACAGTATCAGAATTTGCCAAATACTAGAAAAATTAAATAAAGCCCAAATAAAATCCAAACATCATAAAATGATCCAATTCAACCAATTAGGCACAAAAGAGGATTAATGAGCTAGGAATTAGAGGAAATAATGTTATAAAAATCCAATTGATCAGTGGATAGCATACATGTTCATAATCCACATAAAAAAAATGATTGTGAAAGTCCATGACATCACAAAAATATGAATGAATGAATGAAAAAGGAGAAAAGAAAGAAAGAAAAATATAGCAAGGCATTTGAGTTGAAAAAGGATTTCCACATAAGGCAAATTAAAAAAAAATGTGGTGAAAGAATGCTTGAACCTTTTAAGTTACATCATTTAAGGCATTCCACTCTAGTTGTTGTACTAAATCACTCAAAAGAACTCCCTCCTCTTGAGTACCCACTTGATCTTGTGACCCTTCTTGATTAAATTTGAGCCTATCCTAACCCTATTTGTGACTAACAAAGCCCTCATGATAGGTGGTTCATTGTGTCTAGGCAAAGGAGATTGAGAATATGGGCAAGCATATGGTAGGGTGAGGCAAAATGCATGGATTGAGGGAAAACACTTAGCCTGAATTGTTCTTGAGTGATGAGTGAAACACCACCTTGTGAGATAGATAGTTTCTTTGCATTATGTGAGTCACATGAAACCTTACTTGATTCTTTTGTTTCAATTTAGTGGGACTTTGCATGGAATATTTGACATGAATATGATTCCTCTGTTGAATGAGTCTATGGTTGTGAAGATGTTGGATGTGCTAATTAAAGCATGAAGTTGGAATGAAAATTTTTGAAAAAAAAAAATTTGGATAAATCCAACCCTCTTCATTTAATTTGCTTGAATTTTGATTTGCTTGAGGACAAGCAAAAGTTTAAGTTTGGGGTTGTGATGAATCCACTTTTTATTATATTTTTACTTGCCTTTTTGGTGCTCCTTGATAGAAAAAATGGACTTAGATAGTGTAAATAATACATAAATCACATTTTGAATAAATATCATAGGTTTATTAATTTTTTGTTAATTTACATTTAATTACATAGATATAGATTGCAATTTTAATTATCTTGATAATTTTGCAGAGTCCCCAAGCTCATTTTGAGAAATCTTGGCCCTTGGATGAAAGTTGACCCCAAAGTAGCCATTTTCAGGAGCAAAAGTAGCAACTACAGCAAGTATGGGCATTAAAGGGTCCAAAGTAGCTACTTTCAACCTTTATAGTAGCAACTCCAGAAAGCTCCAGGGACGCCACTTGGGAAGCAATATGCGCATGGACACTATTGCCTTTCATAGTGGCTACGCGCATCCAAAGTAGCTACTTTCAGCATGAAAAGTGACAACTCTAGAGAATTTGCAAGCCAACGTAGATACGCGTGAACACTCTTAAGAGCCAAAGTAGACACTTTCAAAGGCAAAAGTGGGCACTTTGCTGACATGTCCTCCACTATAAATAGATTTTAGGAATTAGGGTACGAGAGCTTAGACTTTTAATTTTCTTTCATTCCCTTTGCCAAATTAGGACATTTTTCTTGCCAGAGCTTTGGAGTCTTAGGTGACAGCTAAGGGTCCATTATAGGTTTTAATTTTCAATTTCCCTTTGATTCTCATTGATTTTACATTAATGTTGTTTACGTTTCTGCATTCCCTTCTTTCATTTGTGAAGCCCATCCATATAGAGGGCTGAATTTTCTTGTAATTCCTAGTCAACTCACATGGTTCTTGAATTCTTGGGTTTAATGGCAATATTAATCTTTCTTTCCTTGGATTTATTAACCCTAATCTCTGAATGAAATGAAATTTACATGAGGGGAACATTACTTAATGAACCCTAAATTACCCAAACGAAATTCTAATCCAAAATTGCTTAATTTTGATTAATCTTTGAGATTGCTTAATCTTAGGTATAGAGATTGGAGCCCATTAAGATGCTTAATTTTAATTGGGATGCTAAAGTTAATTTTCGCTTGTTAGATTAACTTAATTCAAGGGAAGAAAAGAGAATTATTGAATCATTTGAAAGAATAGGGATAGAACTCATTGATTGACTAGGGATTACTCTTCTTAATTGATTGAATTTCACTAGTTTACATTTTGCTCTTGATTAAAATCTGGAAATTGACAAACCTCCCCCCAATTTACTTGCTTTAAAATCTATGTTCACACTTGTTCAATGTATGTTCCCAACCAAAAATTCCTTGGAGACGACCTAGGACAACACCCTAGTATTGCATTCATTTCTTTGCATATTTGATGAGGGTTAACGACAATTTTTGTGCATAACGAGTAGCAAAACTCATTTCATCACCCTCTTCATTACATTCCACCAAAAACTCTTCTGAAGATTCTGATACATTTTTGTTGCACCGGGGTGAAAACTCATTCTGCTCTTATGTGCTTCCTCAAGCACCATCTGTCTAAGCTCATCCACCTGAGGAATGCACACACGGTTCCAGAACCTAATCACCCTGTTCTCATTATGGTGGAAATCCAAGTCCTTTCCCTCATCCTTCTGCCTCATCATGTCTTACAGGAAGGCATCTCCCTGCTGAGCATCTCGGACGTACACCAGGAAGTCGTTGTAAATCGTTGTCGCTCCGAGATATAAACTCCCCGGCCTCACCTCCATGGCCAAATTCATGTCCCGAAATTCCTCAATCAACTCCATCTCTTTCACCATCATTGCTGCCACATGCAACAATTTTTGGCTCAAAGCATCGGCTACCACATTTGCCTTGCTAGGGTGGTAAGACAATGTTAAGTCGTAGTCCTTGAGAAATTCCATCCATCTCCTCTGCCGCATATTCAGCTCCTTTTGATCAAATAGATACTTCAAGCTTTTATGATCACTGAACATCTCAAACCTTGCCCCATACAGGTAGTGCCTCCATACCTTAAGAGCAAAAACCACCGCGGCTAACTCTAGATCGTGTGTCGGATAGTTGACTTCATGCTGACGCAACTGTCTTGAGACATAAGCAACTACTCACCCGTCTTGCATCAAGACACAACTAAGTCCTTGCACAGATGCATCACAATACACATCAAATTGCCGCTCCGGGTTGAGTAGAGCCTCCAAGAAACTAGCTTCACACCCCTTGGTCTACTTGAACTCCTTTTCCTTGCGAGTTAGCTTCGTTAAGGGCAACGCTATCTTAGAAAATCCCTCAATGAATTTCTTATAATAGCCCGCCAATCTGAGAAAACTGCGCACTTCAGTCACATGATTCCTTCCTTCGATACTACATGCCCCAGAAACTGAATTTCTGACAACCAAAATTCACACTTGGAGAACTTCGCATACAACTGTCTCTCCCTCAGAATTTGCAAGACAATCCTTAAGTGCTCGATATGCTCTTCCTGAGTCTTTGAATAAATTAGGATGTCGTCGATGAACACCACCACAAACTTATCCAAAAACTCATGGAAGATCCTGTTTATGTAGTCCATGAACACCGCAGGCGCGATGGTCACCCCAAACGGCATCACCAAATACTCATAGTGACCGTACCGCAGGCGCGATGGTCACCCCTTAATTCGTCCATCAAATCATCAATCCTCAGAAGTGGATACTTGTTCTTGACTGTCACCTTATTCAACTGCCGATAATCTACACATATCCTTATACTTCCATCTTTCTTCTTCACCAAGAGCACTGGTGCTCCCCATGGTGACACACTCGGTCTCACAAACCGTTTCTGTAACAAATCTTCTACTTGCTTCTTGACCTCTACCAACTCCACAGGTGACATCCTGTAAGGCGCCACAGAAATTGGGCTTGCTCTCGGAATGATGTCAATAGCAAACTCTATCTCCCTCTCAGGCGGTAACTCAGAAATATCCTCGGGAAAAACCTCCAAGAAATCCCTTACCACTGGAATATACTCCGGCTCCACTACACTTTTGGTTTTCATTGAGAACATAACCATGAAAGCCTTGGCGTTTACCGCATTCTCCCATGCTCCCTAGCTTATAAGCCTTGGAACCTCTGTCATTGTCGCACCGAAGATCAAAGTCTTCTCCCTACAGTCCAGCAGCACATGGTTGGCAGTAAGCCAATCCATTCCCAGAATAACATTCAGTTGAGAAAGAGGTAAACAAATTAAGTCCACCTCAAACTCCCTACCATGTACCATCATTGCACAACCCAAACAGACCCGTGATGTCACAACCGGCTTACCCGTAAGGGTAGTCACCACAACATTACATGGCAATTCCGTCACATACAGATTCAGACTCTTCACACAGTCCACAGATATAAAAGAGTGCGTAGCACCCGAATCAAACAGCACATCAAGCAGTCGATCCTTAATGCATTTACCTCGGATCAGTTCTTCTGACTGTGAAGCCTCTGCCCCACTCATAGCAAAGACTCTGGCAGGAATGCTCGGCTTCTGCCCCGTACCTAGCCCCGTACTTCCTCTTGATTCTGGCCTCTGAGCTACACTTGCACTACCGCTTCTCTTGGCGGCCCAGCACTCGTTGGCAACGTGCCCTGACTTCCCACAATTGCTACAAGTTATCCTTAGCTGTGGGCAGTCCTTCACCATGTGTGGCTCTCCACACCTGAAACACTTAAGCGGTCCTCTGAAAGAACTTGATCCTGAACCACTTCCACTACTCTATTCTTGGGAAGAACTTCCTCGGGATTGAGAACTGTTCGAACCCAAATACGGTCCCCTTGAGAACCTAGGGGGTCTTCTATCTTGCCTCACTGGGCTGGCTCCCCTAGTGTCCACCATCTTCCCTCTCGAGTTAGCTTAAAAAATTCTGCTCTTGCTCACCAGGGTAGGCAAATCTGTCAGCTGAAACACATTGACCGCAGCTCGGATGTCTGGCCTCAATCCATGCTCAAACTAAGCACACAGATCCTCCTCTCCATTACCATGCTAATAGTGAGGCCAATATTTCATCAACTCTTGGAACTTAGCTGCATACTCCCCTACAGTCATACTTCCTTGTTTTAGTTCAAGGAACTCCCTAGCCTTTTGCTTCCTTAGGTCCTGGAGAAAGTAGTTCCCTAGGAATATGGTCTTGAATGTCTCCCACTGGATGTAGCCATCCTCTTGTGGCAAGGTCTGACCGGGAAACCTCCACCAGTCCTCAGCCTTCCCACACAATAAGTAGATGGCATAAGCAATCTTGTTCTCCTCACGGCATCCCATTGCATTAAAGATCTTCTCCACATCAGCCACCCACCTTTGGGCTCCTTCGGGGTTGAATCACCCTCAAACTTTGGAGGATCATGCCTAGTGAAGGCAGATAACCCTCTATACTTAGCCGGCTCTCCGCCTTGATTATGCACTATGGCTTCCAGAATCTGAGCCATGCGTTCCATGAGGTCATTGGTGTCTCTAGCTCCTCTACCTCTACCTCTACCAGACATATTCTAAGCTACACAATTTAACAGTCACAGTCCAGCAAATCAAATTAATAATACATTTATAATCCAGGTAAACAAAACAATCAACACTTATCTTGGACGCTTTAGCCCGATACCCCAGTCTGGTTTGGATGAACTGCTCTGATACCAAAATTGTAACACCTTATGTTTAATTTCAATAAATCATAATTTCGCAAATTCGGAATAAAATAAATTTCATTTCAAATAAGGTTCTCAATCCTTGGTTTCATCAAATATTTTAAAATAAGAAAAGGGGTTACAATTTCTATCAAGTCACTACTACAAGACCCATTCAAATACATTAGTTTTAAATTAAAATCCTAGTCCTATAGCAGTTTCATTCGTCCCTTTCACTGAGTCTGGTGCTGATCGTATTGATTACCTGAAAAATGAATATAAGGGTGAGTACTCTACATTACCAAAACATACAATAAAGCATAGAGTCTCACCTCCAGCACATTTCCAATACATTAAACAAATACAAGCATAGGCAGCATTATCATATCCATAAGCACAATTCATGAACCCATGCATACTCACACCAGCCACACTCACATTGACACTGTGATCACAGATTTACACTATGAATGGTCGTTGGTCCCGCCTCACGGATACCACATGGGCAGTCATGGGTTGCTCAGCAAAGGTAATGGTCAGAGGTCTAGTCAGAAAGATAGTGTGTGGCCCGTGGTGCACCCGTTCCGCAGTCGGTGTCACCACCACTCCCTCTTTCCTAAGGTATTTCTACCGTCCTCATCTGCCACACCCCCAGTGTTTCACTGAACCATTCACAGCACATTACAACAGCGCTAACACACCTATTCACACATATTTCATTCACGCATGCAATAATCATGCTTACACACGGCACACAGCCCACATTGCATTCAAATACACGGCACTAGGCCCACATTCGTTTCACAATATACGACACATAGCCTTCATTTATTCACAACAACATTAATTCACCAATCAAAGGCATTTTATAACACATAATCATCCACACGGGGCCTAACTATTCCAGCACACATCACATTACACACCAATTTTCATCAAACACGCAATTCTTACTCTCTATTTCAGTCGCATTGCATTATTAATTGAAATACACAAGAATTACAATACATTGAGATAAGGTAGAGTCCCCTCTTACCTTGGATTGAAGACCCACGCCCGAACTCAACCACGGATATGCTCTCCACACAGCTTTCGGCCTAAACACATGGAAGAATTCCATGAGAACCCCAAAAATTACCAAGAACAGAGAAAGGGAAGGAAAAATGAAAACCCTAATCGTTTAAATCACACCTCCAAGCGTTTCCCACACAAATCTGAGCTCCAATCTCGCTCCCAAATGGCTTTGGAGGCAATTAATTGGTGGAATAGGGTTTGGGAGTGAGAGAATCGAAGGGATTTCGAAGGGAGAGGGAGAAATTACTCTCCCCAAACCTTAGCCCCTTTTAAATCCTTTTCTGGTCGCGACACTCTCGCTACAACGAGATATTCTCGCTGCAGCGAGATATTCTCACTGCAGCAAGGTCCAACACGCCCTCTCACTACAGCGAAAAAACCAGAGAAAACTGCACTTTGGTTTTTACATAATCTCGCTACAGTGAGACCCTCTCGCTGTAGCGAGACTGCACCCAGAAATGCACCCAAACTGTCGCTTTGTCACTACAGCGAGACGTCTCTCGCTACTGCGAGAAGGTGACAGTTCTGGTCCTTCCTCCCAGGGCCTTCTCGCTACAATGAGAATCCTCTCGTTGCAACGAGAACAGCCCAGTATCTCGCCCTGTACTTAGACACTTAGCGCATTTCAGCCCAACCAGTCATACATACACATATCCATGTAATTAATACACATAAAACATCATTTTCAAATAAATCAACACATATATGAATATATATATATATATATAAGAATAATAATTAATATTACCAAAATTCGGGGTATTACAAGTATACCTATATATCCTAATCAAAATTTTAAATTAAAATGTGTAGCATAATATTAAAAGAAAAATAAGTAAATTTATAAATTTAAATAATTTATTATAAAAATAATTATAATAAAATAAAATAATATAATAATTATATAGAATAATACATTTTTTACTTACTTGCCTCGTACCCTAAGTCCTGTTCAGAAAACGTTGAAATCCTTTCTTATGTTCTTCTGCTGCTGTCTACATCCTTTGGTCTTGTTGTTCTCCCAAATCCACAGTTCTATCTCAGTGTTCTTTTCTTTCGTCCTCTGGTTTGCCTCCCTTTTCTTCTCTCATGTCCTCTACTCTATCACCCTATTGTTCTCTCGTGTCCTCCAACCAGGTACATACATTGTTATTTTTTGTGTAAGGAACTAAAAGAGCAATGTTTGATAAATGTTTTGTACTCATAAAATACACGTTTATGTGTGACTGAACATCAGATTTACACGGATTTGATAAAACTGGTAAATTCTCGGAGAGGTAAGATATGCTTTTAATGTCTATTGAAGCATATGAGTTGTCGTTAAGATGTTCATACGCTGATGGTACAAGTGTAATTTAAGCTTAGAACTACTTTTCAAGATAAAAAATTGTGTTTATGTTATTAGTTTATAAGGAACTTTTTTAGAATTCATTAAATGACTTTGCAGACCTTCCTCTTCGTGTTGCTAATTTTGGGACTTTAGGGTTTTACATCAGAATGAAGCTAGTACTGCCTTAAGTGGATTAACCCATGTTAGGAGATTTCAGTAGGTAAACCTTTTCTTTTATACTAAACACGCATGACCTACTAAATATAAGTTTTGATGAGAAAAGGGATCTACTTTTATTAGGTTATGTTTCCAATTAAAATTAAATTGCTATTTTAGTTTATTAAATTAGGAATCACATTCTTTTTTATGTTAAGGTACATTGAGACATGCAAGCATACATTTTTATGCTTTATAGCATAATTAGTTGATTCTTTCAATTTTGTTGGTAGGTACACAGTAAATACTAAGTATTGAAAAAATCTCTTTAAGGTGTTTGAAATATTGGAGTACATGTTTGACTCTCATTATTTTTTTGTTGCAATATTATTGAAAAATTCTTTTAACAAGGTCTGCGCTAATATGAATAAACCAAATTGGCTTGTAGATCATGTTTGGTATAGACTATGTGAACATTAGAGAAGTGGACAATTTAAGGAAAAAAGCACACAAGCAAAAAATAAACTGAGCATCTGATTGTGGAGGATTTGGAGGGTCACTCCACATTAGTGGTTCCATTATCACTTCTCAACATAGAGCTAATTTGGTTAAGTTTTGTCTTTGTACTTTTAAACTTTATTATTAAATTTGTTTTGTATCATGTAGTAATTTGTAATTTATGTTTATACATACTTTGTATTAATATGTATTATTACATTTGTCTTAGACAAAGTTATTCGTCACACACACCAACATATAAGACATGTGTGGATGAGAAGTCTGCGCATATAGATGTAAGTCAAACTTTTGTGTAATTTTTCTATGTTTAATGTATGCTTTTAAGATTATTGTCTTATATTATTGTTTCTAAAAGGCAGAATTTACATGCACGTGGGAGGAAGCGACACAAATATCATCTTCTCAAGGAACCCCTCCACCAAGTGAGTTAGATGTGTAGTTTGAGGTAGTTGGAACAAAAATGTGAAAAGTATATGGCCTTAGATTGGAGTTCATTGTGGTAGCTGGGAGACCTTTTTATCATGGTTCAAGTTCTTCATCATTGAGTGGGTACAAAGAGAGGAACTTTAAGAATAGAAAAAGAAATTAGAAGTTCAAATTGAAAGGGATGACCTTCATACTAGTGTGGCAAATACTGAGAGAGATATTCAATTGACTAACCATTTGTTATGAAAAATGATGGAAAAGATGGACTTTCATTCTTCTAGTTTACAATCAATGCAACCTATTTGTGAAGAAGCTACAAATAAGGGCATCAATTTTGGAGTTAGAATGAAATATTTAATGTCTATTATGTATATTACTTAACATATCTTTTTTTTATTATGTATTGAGTTACAGACTTATGTAGTATGTATTGCGTATGCAATGAGAGACTTTAACAATTTGCATTGTGTTTTTTTTTTTTGTTTTCCATCCGATTTAATCTAGATTTGACCCAGGTAAGTCAC